CGGGAAGTATTAGACTCGAAAGTAACAAGAGCCATCACGCAAGCCACTGAGAGATTGGATGACGGCCTAGACCGCGCTCATTTGATTCCTTTAGAGTTCGACGTCGCATTCGATAACTAAGATAACCCACACAGGCAAACGCACTCAAGGAGCACGAAAAAAAACAAGCATTACAGAGAGCGGTCGGTAGCTGGAAGACGTAAAAGTGCCCTACCTTCGTGAGCAACGGTGAAGTGTTCATGGAGGGACTCGGGGTTCGGAAAGGTTTGACCACACAAACAGCAGAGACTCAGCTCCTCAATCTCCTCAATGTCGTCTGAATTGTCGTCTGTGGAGTGACATTTGTTTGTCATAGTACTTTTCTGGAAGAGGAGGAAAACAAACAAAAAACTGAGTCTGCGTCTTTCAGTGAAACATGCTTTCAGGTCGGTCATGAAAGTCAAACGGCTGCAGAGGGAGCATGAGAGCGGTCAACGCCACGACAAACGCGGTTCAGCAAAAACTGGCCAGAAAGCATGCATGCCACACCACCTGAGACGAGCAAGAAACATTCAGTCTGCCTGACAGTCATCCGTAAGGAAAACATGGAATCCACCTAACGGTCGCCCTACCTCTATATGTTCACAAGGTCCCAATGGCAAGACTTGGACTTATTGCGGCTGCTTGATCTGACTGGCCTCGATGATGTCGGTATAAGCTTTGGAACTGAACTGGTCTGAATAATAAGCACAATAAGTATCCAGGGTCTCCGTCAAAACAGACGTTCTGTACGAATGTGAAACATGGTATGAGCGCTCAGTAGAGGCCACTCAACTGGGTGTATTTGATCGGTAGTGTTCGCGCACCATCGATTGACACCAACATCTCTATTTACCGAAATGTACAGCATCCATGGCCACGCCATATGCACGTTTCAGCAACCAGCAGCTCTCATGTGGAAGGGAAGTATACTCCTTGGTCCCTTCTGCGTGTGGCCAGTCCGCCGCATGCCTGCTCCGAGCCTCAGACTATCACGGCTTGGAAGGCTGCCAACTGACGCTTATACCAGACCACGCCATCAGTCCAGTGCTGCTGACTGACAGTATATCTCGGATCACTTGGTCAGTCTAGTGTGTGTTCGTTTTTAATGTAGCCACTTGCTACTTGTGACGGCTGCGATAATGCCTGATCTAGCCGACCTCGATTATGTCCTAGATGGTACCTCTCCACGCATGACGAGCTGTGGCAGCAGATCTGGGCAGTTCAATCCATTCTCTTCGGGAACAACGCAAACCGAATAACAAAGGCCCAAGAACAACTTCTATGTCCCGACGATCTGTGCCAAACTAGGTTTGTAGCTGATCG